TACACAATGGAATATTACTCAGCAATAAAAGAGAATAAAATCGTGACTTTGTGGGTAAATGGATGGAGTTAGAGAAGATAATGCTAAGTGAAGTTAGCCAATCCAAAATAAACAAATGCCAAATGTTTTCTTTGATATAAGGAGGCTGATTCATAGTGGGACAGAGAGAGGAAGCATGGGAGGAATAGACGAACTCTAGATAGAACAGAGGGCTTGGAGGGGAAGTGAGGGGGCATGGAGTTATAAATGATGGTGGTATGTGATGATCATTATTATCCAAAGTACATGTATGAAGACACGAATTGGTGTGAATATAATTTGTATACAACCAGAACTATGTAAAATTGTGCTCTATATGTGTAATAAGAATTGTAATACATTCTGGGGTCATATGTAAATAAAAAAAGAATACAAGCAACAATAAATGTTGGCAAGGATGTTGGGAAAAAGGTACACTCATACATTGCTGGTGGAGCTGCAATTGGGGCAATCACTCTGGAAAGCAGTATGGAGATTCCTCAGAAAACTTGGAATGGAATCACCATTTGACCCAGCTATCGAACTCCATATATACCCAAAGACCTTAAAATCAACATTCTACAGTCACACTGCCACATCAATGTTTATAGCAGTTCAATTCATAATAGCTAACCTAGGGAACCAACCTAGGTGCCCTTCAATGGATGAGTGGATAAAGGAAATGTGGTATATATACACAATATATATACTCAGCCTTAAAGAAGAATGAAATTGTGGCATTTGCAGGGAAATGGCATGCTAAACAAAATAAGTGAATCCTAAAGAACCAAAAGCCGAATATTTTCTGATATGTGGATGCTAATTCACGATAAAGGGACTTCTGGGGAAGAATAGAGGTACTTTGGATGAGACAGAGGGGAGTGAAGGAAAGGGAGGGATCTGGGGGTAGGAAGGGTAGCAGAATGAATCAGACATTAATACCCTATGTGCATATATGACTAGACAACCAGTATAATTCTACATCATGTACAGTCAGAAGAAGTTATATTCCTTTTATATATAAAGTGTCAAAATGCATTCTATTGTCACGTAAACTATTTAGAAGAAATTAAAAATAAAAAATGAAATGTTTTTAAAATCTCTAATTAGATTTTTACTTTTTTCTTCTACCATATGACTTTTATCAATGGAAATGGAGCTGGTGAAGTAAAGATTGTCATTTTTAGCTATGGGTCCTTTGTAAGTTGGAATTTACCTGAAAATATATACAAGCTGAAGTCAACCCAAAAGACAAAAGAAATAAGACCAAAGGATTGGTAATATGTCCACAGAAAATAGAAAAAAGTTTCACTGAATACAGAAATCATATTCAGATAGATGAATTTGGAAATTATGAGACTGTCACAAGCTTGTATTTTATCAATGTGAAAGTGGACAAACTGGATTTGAAGAGACAGCTGTATATCAGTACTTGGTTATTTTGAAATCCTGCTACTTTCCAGGTGTCAGATTCTATTAACTCACATATGACTACCAATTTCAAGAGAGATGTCAGGAACATGGTCTCTGGGCTCTCAGCACAATTTCACATCATGTCACTTGAACATATCCCTGTTGGTCTTTATAAGCCCTTTGTTTACTGTGAGCCGAGATCTAAAATAAAGATTTTTTTAAATTGTTTCACATTTTAACAAGATTTTTAAAAGGCAAATTTACATATTCTATTACAGACTTAGCTCCTCCTTCCAAAGGGGATACAAATTATTAAAGATATGAGACATTGGTGTCTTTTTCTAGATTTGCAACTATAAATTGAGTAAATTTAATCCTGTGTAGTCTGTTTTCTGTGACTAATTTCCTCCTGTTGCCTCTTAATTCCCAAATGTTCTTTCTTCCCCTTGCCCTTCTCAATATTTGAGATACAGTACCAATGACCAATAGGGCTTAACATTATCTTCACACATATCATTAATGTTTGATTACATGCATTTATTTATATGTTTATAGGTTATTGTTAAATATTCATTTATTTAATGAATGACAATGCTAGCAGTTGTCCACATGCTATCTTATATTTGGGTCTCCAATGCCTTCTTTACCTTTGGCCCCAGGGCTACATGTGGTCATTCTTTACTTCATAATTATCTCCTCAAGAAAGTGTGAAAGTAACTACCCATAAAATTTGCCTGGATATTATAATTAAAAGACTTAAATACAGAAACATGTAATATTTGCATTGCTCTTGGTTGATGATCCTGGTGATTTTAAGCTCATCTTCCTGTATTCTTTCTTTAGGACAAGGAATGATTTTAATGTTAGATTTTCATGCAAACTGACAAGTCATCAGGAAAGATATATTTAGTCAAAGAGCATTTCACTGGCTTCAAATGATAACAATAGCTAGCTTCCTACTCTGTCACCGAGTAAGGACAGTCATGGTTAAGCAAGCACTGAGGTCAAAGCTAAATCAAAACTATCCTCATCTTCTGAAAACTAGCCTGTTTCTCATGGCTGCAATATGTACAACTTGAGAGTTAGACTTAAGCAAAAAAGCAGCCTTTATTCTTAGAGAATACGTCCAGTTTAAAAAAAAACAAAACTGACTTTTAAAATAAGGAAGAAAGTAGGAGTGTGCAAATTAAATAAAGATAAGTTGTTAAAGGTTAACCAGTTTCTCCTGGCAGTGTTATAAGCAAATGATATAGTCATTCTCTAGTTCTACAATATTTAGATGTTTTATTTCAGTCACTTAGTGGGAGCTGAGAACAAATGTGGGTAAACCAAACACAAAATACCTTCACAGAACATAAGCTAAAAATCTATTCCCTTAATCCTTCAGTGTTTAATCATGTTATATCTTGACCATAAATGTGAAGAATGTCAAAGTAAATCTGATATTTACATGGTTTGGTATACATACACAGAAAACAACCATTCAGAAAACACATAATCATGCCATTTGTGTGGTTCCTATGGCTTCATAATAAATTCCCAGAAATTTAGAAGATTAAAATATCTATTTGTTGTTTCCTAGTTTCTGTTTCTATAACTCTGGTCATAATGTAACTGGGTTCTCAGCTGAGAGTCTCACCAAGCTAGACTCAAGATTTTGGTTAGGCTGCATTCTCAAGGGGAGCTCAGGGTCTTCTTCCAAGTACATTCAGATAATTAAAACAATTTAGTTCCTTGTGATTGTGGAACTGAGGTTCTTCTTTCCTTGCTGACCATCATTGGGTTTTGCCACCCTCAAGTCCCCAGCCACACAGTCCTCTCACAGTAAGAAACCATACTTCTTCAAAGCTAATAGGAAAAAAATCTTTTTTTTTCCTTCTTTCCTTCCTCCCTCCAATTTTTCCTCCCTCATGAAACAATTGACTCTTATATGATACAGTGTAATCAATCATAAAAGCTACTGTACCTTGGCTTCTGCTCTAAAACACAGCCCTCAGCCAGGAAGTGCTTATTCCATTGTACTTACAGGTCCCACCCACATTTAAAGAGAGGGGATTATGTATTGCATGTGGAAACAGAAATTGTGAAGCCATCTTAAAGTTCTGCCTACAGCCACTACTCAGTCCAAAATCTAAAATACACAACTGCGGAAGAGAGAAAAATATTCCTTACCTCCAGAACCTAGAAGTTAATGTAAATTGTTTAAAGACCAAGAATAGTGTTTTCTAAGAGAGAGAAAGCAATCTATTAATAATCCTATATGTATTTACTAAAATTCCCAGAGGAAGATACTCAGGGCTCAGACTCAGTGGACCCTTTGAATTATGCCTAGTAGAGATGCATGTTCCTATGTATAGGGCTGGCAAAAATTAATGGATAACTGCATAAGAGATATGTCCCAGTTGTAGCAACCCCAAAACATAACTTCCCATGAAACCAGTCCCTTTTTACCACTAAACTCCTCTTTGTTAGTTATTATATCTAATATCTGGCTACATGCTAGTACAACAACATTCCATTTTCTACCAAAAAGAATAAAATTGAGTATTTAATTATAATACTGATGTCTTCTGGATTAGTAATAAAGTAATCAGATGACCATGCTTTGATTCTGCAGTTATCATCGCACTAGGAATGTGAATGGCCTATAAATGTGATGGAACATTTTCTCCTTTGGTTAGGTGACATTACATGGCAAAGTGATAGGGCAAGGATTCCCATGATTATAGTTTGCTCTTAGCAGGGAAGTTGACGGTTCTTTTAGTAGCTTTGAAGAAGTAAGAAGCTACATTATAAGAAGTTCAGATGGCTAGGCCTTAATGCAACTTTCAGGGGCTAAGACATACCCCAAGCAGATATTTAATCTGAAAATGGGGACCTCAGACCTCAGACCTACAGTAGCAAGGAACTTAATTCTTCCAACATCTGAAAGAGCCTCAGAGGAGTTCCTTTCCCAGGTGACACCTTCATTTTGGCCTGGTAAGCCTGAATAGAGGGTCTAGCTAATCCATGACTAGGAACCTGAACCATGAAAACATGAGAAATGATATCCCATTTGATTCAAATGTATGAAATGTCAAGATCATTGTACTGTCATGTGTAACTAATAAAAATAAATAAATAAATAAATAATAAAAAAACAAACAAAAAGGAACCAAGAAAACTGTAGGATACAAACAACTCATGCTGCTTTAAGCTGCTTACCATGTGGTAACTTTTCATGAGGTATAGAAAACTAACACATGAGCAAACAGATAAATAAATAAACTGGCAAAATTAATTTTAGGTAATCTCTGCAATAACATTTCTTATAACTAAATCCCAATTGATTTTACCCAATAGATACATTATTTCCAGGCTTTTAAAATGTTTGGAAACTGAAATAAGGACCTACTTTTATGGTACTCCAAAACAAATGATAAGCCAAAGGTCAAACTCTTTAAGTGATGAGAGAAAGCCAAATCAATTGGGGAACTAACATATAACTCCAACAAGGTTAAAAATAAATCTGAATAACCATGATATGTTATGCATGTACTTATATATGCACAAAAACAAGGGGTACTTACTCTGAAAGTTGTTCACTGAGAAGATACGAGGATGATAGAATCCTGCTTTGCAAATGCACTGATAGGCTCCAAGTACAAATCCTAGGCCTTTAATTGGCATACACTGTGAAGAAGAAAAGAAAGCAATGTAATTGATCATAGTTTATTTCACAGATATCCATCATTCCAAATGCTAACAGAACTAACACATTTTCCAGACATTAAATATCTCTTTTTGAACCTTTATTTTAGGTTTGTTTGCCAACAGACATGTTTTTTAGAAGTACTGTAGCAAATTGAGTTTTCTTTCTAAATATACTCCATTACAGCTGAAATTGCTATACATCTTTAACTTATTCAGTTGCCACAGAAATTACTAGACATAGTTTTTGTTTTTAATACATCAATATCATCTTGTTGCTTTAACAAATATTCACAAAACACATAAGAATATTTTAAATAATTTCATACTAAACATTTCTGTCAAAGTAGATAGGACGAGAGATAGAAGACATGGAAATTGCTTTTATGAATTAAATATTAATCAAATTTCATACTTAGATCAAAATAACACAAACTGATGAAACAAAACAAGTAAAATTTAAGTTGAAAATATAGAAAAGAAAAATACAGATAAATTAATGATCATAATGGTTTTGGGTTCAAAATCTACTTCACAGATATATGTTCTACATATATAGAACATATATATGTAGAATATAAAACATATATATGTAGAACATATATATGTAGATATAAAATAAGAAAAACCATGATAAACTTTTCAAATATGTCATACAAATAGACATTTCTCCAAAATGTAATCTTGTCTTCTTTCAAGAATTTCACTTAATCCAGGTAAAATTGAGCTTAGCATACTCACTATTGCTATACTCAATTACAGAAACAAGGAATAACCACTATTAAAATATAAAGACTACATCAGTAAAATGGGTGTTTTAAGAGTTTAATCAACATTCAATTAAAACTTCTTTCCTGATATTTCCCTGCCAAGATACAACCCTTTTCCTTTATGCCATTATAATCTATTAAAGGAACTTAGAATATAATAGATTTAAAAGTTATAAGATAGTCCCAATACAGAGGCCCTTGAGAGAAATGTTTTAATAAAATTTTTCTATATACTTGAACATTGTGTTTTCTTTCTTTTTTAATTTTTTTTTAATTTTTTAACTACACGACAGCAGTGGAAAGCATTACAATTCTTATTACACATATAGGCACTATTTTTCATATCTCTCTATATAAAGTATGTTCATGCCAATTTAAGCCTTTATATGTGTACTTTGCTTTTTTTGTATTACAATTCTTAATACACATATATACCACAATTTTTGTATCTTTGTTTGTATATAAAGTATGTTGACACCCAATTCAGGTCTTCATACATGTACTTTGGATAATTATATCCATCACATTCCACCATCCTTGCTAATCCCCTGCCCCTCCCTTTCCCTCCCAGCCCTCTTCCCTATCTAGAATTCATCTATTCCTCCCATGCTCTCCCTCCCTACCCCACTATGAGTCAACCTACTTATATCAAGAAAAAATTTGGCATTTGTTTTTTGGGATTGCTTCACTTAGCATTATCTTCTCCCAAAGCCATCCATTTTGCAAATGCCATGATTTTGTTCTTTTTTAATGCTGATTAAAATTCCATGTGTATATATGCCACATTTTTTTATCCATTCATCCAATGAAGGACATCTAAGTTGGCTCCACAGTTTATTTTTTGTAAATTGTGCTGCTATAAACACTGATGTGGCTGTGTCCCTGTAGTATGCTGTTTTTAAGTGCTTTGGGTATATATTCTGAGGACAGGAATAGCTGAGTCAAATGGTGGTTCCATTCCCAGATTTCCAAGGAATCTCCAAACTGCTTTCCAAATTGGCTGCACCAATTTGCAGTCCCACCAGCAATGTATGAATGTACCTTTTTCCCCACATCCTCGCCAACACTTTTTGTTGTTTGTCTTCATAATAGCTGCCATTCTGACTGGAGTGAGATGATATCTTAAGTGTGGTTTTGATTTGCATTTCTCTGATTGCTAGAGATGATGAGCATTTTTTCATATATTTGTTGATTGATTGTATATCATCTTCTGAGTGTCTGTTCAGGTCCTTAGCCCATTTGTTGACTGGGTTATTGTTTTTGTGGTGTTTAGCTTTTTGAGTTCTTTATATACCTAGAGATTAGTGCTCTATCTGATGTGTGAGGGGTAAAAATTTGTTCCCAGGATGTAGGCTCTCTATTTACCTCACAGATTGTTTCTTTTGCTGAAAAGAAACTTTTTAGTTTGATTCCATCCCATTTATTGAGTCTTGGTTTTACTTCTTGTGCTATAGGAGTCTTATTAAGGAAGTTGGGGCCTAATCCCATATGATGAAGATAAGGGCCTACTTTTTTTTCTATTAGACGCAGAGTCTCTGGTTTAATTCCTAGGTCCTTGATCCATTTTGAGTTAAGTTTATGCATGGTGGAAATAAGGGTTTAATTTCATTTTGTTGCATATGGATTTCCAGTTTTCCCAGCACCATTTGTTGAAGATGCTATCTTTTCTTCAGTGCATGTTTTTGACACCTTTGTGTAATATAAGATAATTGAAATTTTGTGGGTTAATTTAAATAATAATTTTATAATGTAAGCTCAAATGATAAGCATTCAGGTTAATATTACATATCATGAAAACTCCAGCAAATACAAGGTAACTAGTTAATGCTTATTCTAAAATCAGAAGTGCAGCAAGAAATCTTAGAAAAAATAACTTTCTAAAGGACCTTCTTGAGTATCGTATTTCATGAATACTGTTTTTTTAACCCAATACACACTTATATTCAAATACATCTTATATTTAAAAACATGGTTCTTGCCAGAGCAAAATGAAATGGCAGATGAGAACCTGTCAATTCAACTAACTTAGCAAGTATTTACAAAACAATTGCTGTATACCTAGAGCATTCGTGCACAATCTAATTGAAATACAAAACATTCTGTTTATAAAGATCAAGGTATACAAGAGGTCAAATCATATGTTTGAACTAAAAATTAAATAAAACGGCAGAGACAATTACAACATTTACTTTGGATAAGTACTAATATTATGGAAAAGCATATTATTTGTAGTCAGTAAGAAAAGATAGATTTGAGTTCTGACTTTATCACTTTCTAAACATGTAAATTTAGGAATTTAGGCTTGTTCTCTTTAATCTCTATGAGACTTTTTTTTTTTTAATTTGTAAGAATTTCTTAATCAGAGTCAAATATAGTTTGAAGGTAAAGCTATCAAGATGTCCTAGAGTAGAAGAGGAATAGAAAAACAAAGGATGACACCAAGATTTTTACCCAGCACAACCATAAGAATGGAATTAACATAAACTGATCTGTGAAAGACTGCAAGTGGTATGGATTGGGGTAAAAATCAGAAGTTCAGTTTTGCAAATATTAAGTGTGAAGGTGTCTATTTGAAATTTAATTCTAATCTCAGATATGGAGCTTGATAAACTGATATGACGTTTAGGAGAGAAGTCTAGGCTGTATAATTTGGAAATCATTTGCATAAAATTGATAGATAAAACTGACATACTACAGGAAGTGAAGGAAATAGGACCAAAGATAGAAGAGAAATCCACCTGTGACACTGGTCAATTCCCTGGTCACCCAAGTTTGATTCATCTGATTTGGCTAATGAGGCATGTATCTACAACCACCCTCATCACTCCATGTATATCCCTCCTGAAGTTCCTTTCTAGGTCAAAGAGAACAATCTTCCCCAATAGAGGAGGGCCATTCCATAGTCAAAGGTACACAAGTAGCTGTGCTTCTCTATGAGAAGTATATCCAGGTATACTAAGAGTTACTAAGGATACATTAGAGCACATTAAATATTTTGCTTCACTGGAATTTAGAAGTTAAAATGCTTTCATTAAAATTGCACTAATTTCCTCATGATATGACTCAACGCAACAACAGTGACTCAGTCAAGAATTTTAAATGTTTAGCTAAACTCGACAGTTAATTGAAATTTAAACTGATTCTAGAGCTGACATAAAACTGAAGGTTAAAAAAAACAATATAGTTGATTAGGTAAACATTGCCAAATAAAAAGTTCCTTGAAGTTAAAAAAAAAACTTTCCTAATTTTATTGAAAACAGCAAAATAGATATTCATTACCTTGAACTTTTTGTTTTAATCCTTTTTTTTTCCCCACAGTGCTGGGGACTACACAGGCTACACAAGCACTCCACCACTGAACTACACTCCTAGTCTTGTTTCACTCTTAAAATTATCTTAATCTCAAAGGAAAGAAAAAACTCTCAGTTAAAATCAATAAAAGTGCATCATCCTTCTATTGTACTCCCTTTGCCTCTAAGATGGTGGGGTCTTCATGGAACCTGATGTCCTGTTGCTTACATACAGTTGCCTGGAATAGAAATTGACCTAAGATTATAAATTTGGAATCAAGTTTCTATGCTTTCTATCTACAACCCCCATTCCTTACCTATCAAATCCCTACTACCTCCCAACCAAAATTACACATTTTCAAGATTAGGAAATTAACATAGTCAGTCTAGCTTTTAAAAACTGTTTTAAAAGTCCCCTTTTGGGACTGATTTTTATAATTTTTTCCTTTTTTGGTTTTCTAACATAAACAGAGATCCTCAGTTAATACAAAAACTTCAGAATTTTAATCTCACATTCATTTAAGATCTTTAAATATTCCTTATATTAATTATATGCATTAAAGTCTAAAAATAAAAATCAAAGGAAGCAGAGATAGAAAAGCAGCACTTCTTTCTCCACAAGGGTAGCTTTTACATAAGTGGCCTTCGATAAACATTGAAATTTCTATATTAAGAGTTATAGTACCCCCATGAGAGAAGAAGATGCATACAATATAAGACACCCTCTTTAATAAGTCTTACCAAGCCATATGCAGAGATTTACTATACAGAATTCTTGAGAGTCCACCACCAAATTCAGGTTTCTAGAAGTAGACTAGATCCAAATGAATAAGAGATGATGGTCAAGAGATCAGATTAAAATGTATAAATTCCCAGAAAAATATAACTTACCAATATTCAATCATATAAAAATGAAAAATCT